TCGACAAAAAACATGACTGTTTCGCTAGAACTACATTTTTTCTATTGCATGAGTGCAAGAAACCACCCATTTACCATTCTCAACTATCCAATACAGTGGTGAGAATTTAGCAATTTTGCCAATTTCACACAAATTTCAAAAAATGCCAATTTCCGAATAGGGTCCAGAACAAACAAGAAATACATTCCTGGCACTAAAATGACATTTCTTCTGTTCATTAGTCACGTCTCAAGGCCCCTCTTACATTCTTTTGCTTTCCACTTTGAATTTTTATTCTCACGAAAAATAGAAGATTTACTGTTATGCAGACTACTGCATTAGTGTAAAAAATGGTATAAATCGTATTGGCGCACTTGCAAAAGAATGTTAGACTCACCAGTTGACGTGTATTGGACGCTTGGCATGATTTGTTTACTTTTGAACTTTGGTAAAAATCGAACATTTCTGCTACTTTGAGCTCAATTTCAAGGTACGTTTCATTGTAAAACCAGTGAAAATCATCTCAATTTCTGTGATATGCATTTCATTCTATAAAATGAGACCAAGAAAACTAGAATACAACAATAAATACCATACGAAAATACAGTGCAAAGTCGCTGTTTTATGCCAAAAAAACTGTGAAAGTTTTTTTTTCTCATTATGCAATGTGTGCTGCAGGATTTTTTTTATACTGTGCACACTGACCACATAGACCCATTCTTTCATATGGAGGCCTACCAGCCTTTTCCCGCGGGATTTGACGGCGCTAGAATTTATGCGTACTAGTACGTCAAAAACCCCTGCGCGTAAGACGTACTAGTACGTCCGAAACCCTCAAAGGGTTAAAAATAGGAGAGGAGAGTTATTAAATGGAGAGTTAGAGGTATTGGGAAGATGGAAGGAATATTTTGAGAAATTGTTAAATGTTGATGAAGATAGGGAAGCTGTGATTTCGTGTATAGGGCAAGGAGGAATAACATCTTGTAGGAGTGAGGAAGAGCCAGTTGTGAGTGTGGGGGAAGTTCGTGAGGCAGTAGGTAAAATGAAAGGGGGTAAGGCAGCCGGGATTGATAGGATAAAGATAGAAATGTTAAAAGCAGGTGGGGATATAGTTTTGGAGTGGTTGGTGCAATTATTTAATAAATGTATGGAAGAGGGTAAGGTACCTAGGGATTGGCAGAGAGCATGCATAGTTCCTTTGTATAAAGGCAAAGGGGACAAAAGAGAGTGCAAAAATTATAGGGGGATAAGTCTGTTGAGTATACCTGGTAAAGTGTATGGTAGAGTTATTATTGAAAGAATTAAGAGTAAGACGGAGAATAGGATAGCAGATGAACAAAGAGGCTTTAGGAAAGGTAGGGGGTGTGTGGACCAGGTGTTTACAGTGAAACATGTAAGTGAACAGTATTTAGATAAGGCTAAAGAGGTCTTTGTGGCATTTATGGATTTGGAAAAGGCGTATGACAGGGTGGATAGGGGGGCAGTGTGGCAGATGTTGCAGGTGTATGGTATAGGAGGTAGGTTATTAAAAGCAGTGAAGAGTTTTTACGAGGATAGTGAAGCTCAAGTTAGAGTATGTAGGAAAGAGGGAAATTATTTCCCAGTAAAAGTAGGCCTTAGACAAGGATGTGTGATGTCACCGTGGTTTAATATATTTATTGATGGGGTTGTAAGAGAAGTAAATGCGAGGGTCTTGGCAAGAGGCATGGAGTTAAAAGATAAAGAATCACACATAAAGTGGGAGTTGTCACAGTTGCTCTTTGCTGATGACACTGTGCTCTTGGGAGATTCTGAAGAAAAGTTGCAGAGATTGGCAGATGAATTTGGTAGGGTATGCAAAAGAAGAAAATTAAAAGTGAATACAGGAAAGAGTAAGGTTATGAGGATAACAAAAAGATTAGGTGATGAAAGATTGGATATCAGATTGGAAGGAGAGAGTATGGAGGAGGTGAATATATTTAGATATTTGGGAGTGGACATGTCAGCAGATGGGTCTATAAAAGATGAGGTGAATCATAGAATTGATGAGGGGAAAAGGGTGAGTGATGCACTTAGGAGTCTGTGGAGACAAAGAACTTTGTCCTTGGAGGCAAAGAGGGGAATGTATGAGAGTATAGTTTTACCAATGCTCTTATATGGGTGTGAAGCATGGGTGATGAATGTTGCAGAGAGGAGAAGGCTGGAGGCAGTGGAGATGTCATGTCTGAGGGCAATGTGTGGTGTGAATATAATGCAGAGAATTCATAGTTTGGAAGTTAGGAGGAGGTGCGGGATTACCAAAACTGTTGTCCAGAGGGCTGAGGAAGGGTTGTTGAGGTGGTTCAGACAAGTAGAGAGAATGGAGCAAAACAGAATGACTTCAAGAGTATATCAGTCTGTAGTGGAAGGAAGGCGGGGTAGGGGTCGGCCTAGGAAAGGTTGGAGGGAGGGAGTAAAGGAGGTTCTGTGTGCGAGGGGCTTGGACTTCCAGCAGGCATGTGTTAGCGTGTTTGATAGGAGTGAATGGAGACACATTGTTTTTAATACTTGACGTGCTGTTGGAGTGTGAGCAAAGTAACATTTATGAAGGGGTTCAGGGAAACCGGCAGGCCAGACTTGAGTCCTGGAGATGGGAAGTACAGTGCCTGCACTTTGAAGGAGGGGTGTTAATGTTGCAATTTAAAAACTGTAGTGTAAAGCACCCTTCTGGCAAGACAGTGATGGAGTGAATGATGGTGAAAGTTTTTCTTTTTCGGGCCACCCTGCCTTGGTGGGAATCGGCCAGTGTGATAATGTAATAATAAAAATAATTATTGCTACTCCTTCTTTAGCTCTGACTCTATTTGAAACCCCTGACCTAATCCCATTTATTTCTCCCCACTGAAACACTCCCACCCCCTTCAGTTTTGTTTCACTATATACCTCCAATAACATTGGAGGAGTCAGTTTTGTGTCTTCCTTTTTCTATTGCTTAATAGCTTAACTTACTTGCTAGACTGTTAATGTTACTCTTTATCACAGGCTGACACTATAGCCTCTATTGACTCCTGCTGCTGTAGTATCATACATATCGTAGAATCACTGAAGAAGGGACATTCTCCCCTCTCTCTTCCTCCTCCACTTTGGTACTTTGTTACGAGTTTTTTTCTTAAATTCTATTGTGTTTCTCACCTTCTTTATCAATGGGCTGGCACTAGCAACTTTCTTTGGTCTTATTAGCAGTCACACAGAATAAACAAGTGCAAAAAACAATGAATTATTACAAAAGGTTTCCTATGGCCTCACAGGATAATGTTCACTCGCCAAGAAAGAGCGACGCTGCCTCAGAATGCGTGTGTGGGAGGCTTTGTGTGTGCATGGCACTCGGATAGGTACTGTACCACCGACGAGAATGGAGGAAAACAACAAAAACTGAGCCAATATTTTTATGAAAAAAGTCAGCGATAGCTGAAATTCACGAAAACAGAGCCCAGTGAAAAGGGAGGGTCCACTGTATTGGCATATGTAGGTGGTCAGTTTTATATAACCATTCCTGATTTTGGTTTCAATGTGATAATTTGAGTATGCTTTGTATCATCATCAAATATTCAGCACTGGTGTATACTAATTATAAGACATTTGGGATTGTTATTGGACTGTGTAGGTGCCAAGTTTACTTTTAAAATGGTGTAGTATTTTCTTAATTAATTTTAATTTCTCTCTTTAGAAAGACTTCACTCTTTAATGTTTGTTACATCTTATGAAGAAAGGATGATACCATTTTGGGTTTAGACTATGTATGTGCTAATATATAAGTTTACCAACACAGTTAATAAATCTGGAATTGTTGAATTGTGTGTGATAACTGGAGAATAAAGGAGGGGTGCAGGGTATTTACTGTTTGGAGGGTCATCTCAACTGTCGTATCTTTGTGCCTCCGGCAAGACAGTAATACAGTATTGTGAATGATGGTGGGAGTGTTTCTTTTTTGCATCACCCTACCTTGGCAGGAGACAGGCCAGTGCTTGAAAAAAAAAAATGGAAAATACATTTTCTGGTCAGCTGAAAATTTTCACTGCATGTATTTTTCTCAAAGGAGAAGGCTGGAGGCAGTGGAGATGTCATGTTTGAGAGCAATGTGTTGTGTGAATATAATGCAGAGAATCCATAGTTTGGAGATTAGGAGGAGGTACAGGGTTACCAAAACTATTATACAGAGGGCTGAGGAGGGGTTATTGAGAAGGTTTGGACATGAAGAAAGGATGGAACAAAATAGAATGACTTCGAGAGTGTATAAATCTGCAGTGGAGGGAAGGCGGGGTAGGGGTTGGCCTAGGAAAGGTTGGAGGGAGAGGGGTGAGGGAGGTTTTGTGTGTGTGTGGGGTTTGGACTTGCTGCAAGCATGCGTGAGCATGTTGGATAGGAGCAAATAGAGACAAAAGGTTTTTAGGACTTGATGTGCTGTTGGAGTGTGAGCAAGGTAACATTTATGAAGGAATTCAGGGAAACCAGCAAGCCGGACTTGATTCCTGAAGATTAGAAGTACAGTGCCGGCACTCTGAAGGAAGGGTGTTAATGTTGCAGTTTTATAACTGTAGTGTATGCATGCCTTTGGCAAGACAGTGATGGAGTGAATGATGATGAAAGTTTTTCTTTTTCGGGCCACCCTACCTTGGTGGGAAAAGTCCAATATGTTAATACAATATAAAAAAAAAAAATTCAAAGGAAGCTTTGGGTTTTGTAAGTTTTAATTTGCCAATTTTATTAAAAATTAAGAAAAAAAAAAAAATTGGATAATTGAAATCCCTGACCTGGTACAGTGGACCCCTGGTTTACGATCAGCTCCCAATGCGACCAATTATGTAAGTGTATTTATGTAAGTGCATTTGTATGTGTATGTCTGGGGGTCTGAAATGGACTAATTTAATTCACAATATTCCTTATGGGAACAAATTCGGTCAGTACTGGCACCTGAACATACTTCTGGAATGAAATAATATGGTAAACCAGGGGTCCACTGTATTTAGTTACTCTGGTAAATTAAACTATTATTACAATTTCAGTATGCTATCTTCCTGGCTATCCTACTGCTGCTGGAGATGACAGCTGGCATTCTAGGTTTCATCTTTAAAGATTGGGTAAGTTTTTTTTTGCTAAACAAATGAATTCATTATTATTAAGAACTTGAATATCTGAAATAAACTTTCTTATAAAGTTCCAGATTAGTGTACAGTATATTAAGACAAAAAGGTAATTAAGAAGTGTTGTTTATTTACTGTGTATAAGGTGACAGAAGTGCTAGAGAAATAGGAAATTATTGTTGAGCCAGGGTTCTTAAACCAGAGTTGCAGTCTGAGCCTACGTCGTCACTCAAGTGGAAATTTAGTGGTTCTGTCTTTATTTCCAAATGGAGTGTGAGCAGTGTTGGAGTGTAAGCAGGGTAATATTCTATGAAGGGATTCAGGGAAACAGGTTAGCTGGACTTGAGTCCTGGAAATGGGAAGTATAATGCCTGCCCTTTATAGGAGAGGTTTGGGATATTGGCAGTTCGGAGGGACGTCTAAGCTGTCATATCTGAGCGCCTCTGCAAAGACAGTGATTAAGTATGAGTGATGGTGAAAATGTTGAATGATGAAAGTTTTTTTCTTTCTTTTTGGGTCACCCTGCCTCGGTGGGAAACGGCCGATGTGTTAAAAGATAAAGAATCACACACAAAGTGGGAGTTGTCACAGCTGCTCTTTGCTGATGACACTGTGCTCTTGGGAGATTCTGAAGAGAAGTTGCAGAGATTGGTGGATGAATTTGGTAGGGTGTGCAAAAGAAGAAAATTAAAGGTGAATACAGGAAAGAGTAAGGTTATGAGGATAACAAAAAGATTAGGTGATGAAAGATTGAATATCAGATTGGAGGGAGAGAGTATGGAGGAGGTGAACGTATTCAGATATTTGGGAGTGGACGTGTCAGCGGATGGGTCTATGAAAGATGAGGTGAATCATAGAATTGATGAGGGAAAAAGAGTGAGTGGTGCACTTAGGAGTCTGTGGAGACAAAGAACTTTGTCCTTGGAGGCAAAGAGGGGAATGTATGAGAGTATAGTTTTACCAACGCTCTTATATGGGTGTGAAGCGTGGGTGATGAATGTTGCAGCGAGGAGAAGGCTGGAGGCAGTGGAGATGTCATGTCTGAGGGCAATGTGTGGTGTGAATATAATGCAGAGAATTCGTAGTTTGGAAGTTAGGAGGAGGTGCGGGATTACCAAAACTGTTGTCCAGAGGGCTGAGGAAGGGTTGTTGAGGTGGTTCGGACATGTAGAGAGAATGGAGCGAAACAGAATGACTTCAAGAGTGTATCAGTCTGTAGTGGAAGGAAGGCGGGGTAGGGGTCGGCCTAGGAAGGGTTGGAGGGAGGGGGTAAAGGAGGTTTTGTGTGCGAGGGGCTTGGACTTCCAGCAGGCATGCGTGAGCGTGTTTGATAGGAGTGAATGGAGACAAATGGTTTTTAATACTTGACGTGCTGTTGGAGTGTGAGCAAAGTAACATTTATGAAGGGATTCAGGGAAACCGGCAGGCCGGACTTGAGTCCTGGAGATGGGAAGTACAGTGCCTGCACTCTGAAGGAGGGGTGTTAATGTTGCAGTTTAAAAACTGTAGTGTAAAGCACCCTTCTGGCAAGACAGTGATGGAGTGAATGATGGTGAAAGTTTTTCTTTTTCGGGCCACCCTGCCTTGGTGGGAATCGGCCGGTGTGATAATAAAAAAAATAATAATTTCATGTAATCATTTATAAGATATGGGTTGTGGAAGAATAGGAATATTAGTTGCCCTTCTTCACTGAAGTAGGTTTGTGAATATTGTATCAGTGTTTTTTTCCTACTTTTCAGATTAAATCCCAAGCTACTAATGGATTCCAAGCGTTTATTGTACACTATCGTGATGACCCTGACCAACAGAACCTTATTGACTGGATACAGGAGAAGTGGGTGAGTTTTAAGAATTCAGTCTTTTCTGTCACCAAGGCAGGGTGACCCAAAAAGAAAAACAAAAGTTTTTTTTTTTTTTTTTTTAAATTTAGTAATTTATACAGGAGAAGGGGCTACTAGTCCTTTGCTCCTGGCATTTTAGTCTCATCTTAGGGCATGCATGGCTTATGGAGGAAGAATTCTTTTCCACTTCCCCATGGGGATAAATATGAGACAGTCTTGTTGGTTAATTGATTTAGAAACTACAGACAAAGTTTGTTGATTACAGAATTGTTTATTAATGTGATCATGGTATAAAAATCTCATCTGTCAACCTGTATTGCCAGTACTAACCACCTTCTCCCCTCCCATTAACCCATTACATTGAAGGTTCACTTCAGTTTCCTGTTTGGATGGGGAAAAGGGATCGAGGCTGACACTATTAATTTGTAGTCCATGTATGAAGCTTGCTTCAATTTTGTGTTGAAATCTGGCTAAAATGCTCTTAAAGTGGGTTCAGGCATCAGGAAAACACTGGGCTAGATTGGATAGAATGGTGATCCTCTGTATCTTGCCAGGCAGTGTGTTTCTGCCATCACCGAAGTTGAATCAAGCAGTTGTTTATCGCTCAAGAAACCACTTTTATAGTTTACGTAATCGAACACATCATTGGATGCACTTGCCTAAAGCCTGGGATCCATTGAATTAGTCAGGAAAGTGGGTCCAAATGTACTTGTACTTAAAGCCGTTGTCCATTGCTACCAAGGTGTGATGGCTCATTTGGAATGAAATTCACCAGTTGTTGGGTCAGACTGGGGGGTTTGCTCTGACATTGATTGAGGGTTGAGCAAATATCTTGATGCCAGACTTTCTGTATTGCAGTGGCTCTTCCTCGCTACCCCAATTCACATGAGTATAAATACATAAGAAAATGTAGTAACAGACCAGTAGTGTCTGCATGGCCTCAGCCTTGCAAGTCTTAACCCTTAAATGGTCCAAACGTATTTATACGTTTTTTCAACATCTGAAAGTATGTAAAAAAATGTAGATCTTTTTTGTTTTACATTTGAAAATGTGTTAAAAAAACTTTTATCTACATTCTTTTTTTGTTATATTTGAAAATATGTAAAAAAAAGTAATCTACTTTTGTAGCACTATGAATTTGAACGTCGATCTGTTTGGACCGTTTAAGGGTTAAGGGAGGGCATGCAAAACTGTAAAGTCAATGATGTTAAGAAGGGCCTTTCCATAACCACTAACAGCAGCAGCCTGGTTGAATAGTCACTCAACAAGGAAGCCTGACTAAATTTCAGGATTGTAGATTAGAAGAATCTTTGAAAGCTGGTCATATTTAGCCTAGTGTATGGTTAAGAGAAAAAACTTAATCACTAATTGTAAGGATGGGCTAATATTACTGGTTTAGTTTTCAAAAAATGGGAAGCAACTGGTGTGGGACTACGCATATCTACTTTGGCTGACACATGCATCCCCATTTAGTGTTCATTAGTAGGGAGTTCCTGCTAATTAAAGTGAGACAGAAAAACTCATAATTATAGGAAGTAAACTGTCAATATTAGTGGTACATCTATCAGGTGATAGATGTACCACAAGGTTTCTCATGGTATTGAGTGTTAGGATCCACTTGAGATTACAGTACACAAATAAGCTGCACATAGGAGAAAGAAACTTATAATGTTTCAGTCCAACTTGAATCACTGAAATGTCATCATAAGTTCCTTCTCCTATGTGCGGGTTATTTGTGTATTGTTCTGGTCAGAGTACTGTGCCTTTTTGTTCTTTCTTTGAGATTACAGTGGCTAAATAATACTTCAAATGCAAATATAGTCATTGATTTATTCTAATTTTTGTTCACAGTTGGAGTGTTGTGGCATTGAGGGCCCCAAGGACTGGGACCGTAACGTTTATTTTAACTGTTCCTCAGAAGCTGTAGGATCTCGGGAAGCTTGTGGAGTTCCCTTCTCTTGTTGTAAACAAAAAGCTAATGTGAGTGAAATGTATTGCTCCTAATATTGTACATTGAAAATAACATTGTAAAACTACTGTATTTGTGGGTGCTGGAGGAAAGAGGAGTGATGGAATGATGAAGTAAAGGGTGTGATAAAAGAGAAAAAGGTAGCTTATGAGAGGTTTTTACAAAGCAGAAGTGTTATAAGAAGAGCAGAGCATATGGAGAGTAAAAGAAAGGTGATGAGAGTGGTGAGAGTGCAAAAGGAGAGCAGATGATAGAGTGGGAAAGGCACTGTCAAGAAATTTTGATGAAAATAAAAAAAAATTTTGGAGTGAGATAAACAAGTGGAATGATGATGTAAAGAGAGTAGTAAGGGAGAAAAATTTAGCATATGAGAAATTTTTACAAAGTAGAAGTGATGTAAGGAAGAAAAAGTATATGGAGAAAAAGAGAGAGGTTAAGAGAGTGGTGAAGCAATGTAAAAAGAGAGCAAGTGAGAAAGTGGGTGAGATGTTATCAACAAATTTTGTTGAAAATGAGAAAAAGTTTTGGAGTGAGATTAACAAGTTAAGGAAGCCTAGAGAACAAATGGATTTGTCAGTTAAAAATAGGAGAGGAGAGTTATTAAATGGAGAGTTAGAGGTATTGGGAAGATGGAGGGAATATTTTGAGGAATTGCTAAATGTTGATGAAGATAGGGAAGCTGTGATTTTGTGTATAGGGCAAGGAGGAATAACATCTTGTAGGAGTGAGGAAGAGCCAGTTGTGAGTGTGGGGGAAGTTCGTGAGGCAGTAGGTAAAATGAAAGGGGGTAAGGCAGCCGGGATTGATGGGATAAAGATAGAAATGTTAAAAGCAGGTGGGGATATAGTTTTGGAGTGGTTGGTGCAATTATTTAATAAATGTATGGAAGAGGGTAAGGTACCTAGGGATTGGCAGAGAGCATGCATAGTTCCTTTGTATAAAGGCAAAGGGGACAAAAGAGAGTGCAAAAATTATAGGGGAATAAGTCTGTTGAGTATACCTGGTAAAGTGTATGGTAGAGTTATTATTGAAAGAATTAAGAGTAAGACTGAGAATAGGATAGCAGATGAACAAGGAGGCTTTAGGAAAGGTAGGGGGTGTGTGGACCAGGTGTTTACAGTGAAACATATAAGTGAACAGTATTTAGATAAGGCTAAAGGTCTTTGTGGCATTTATGGATTTGGAAAAGGCATATGACAGGGTGGATAGGGGGGCAATGTGGCAGATGTTGCAGGTGTAGGGGGTAGGTTACTGAAAGCAGTGAAGAGTTTTTACGAGGATAGTGAGGCTCAAGTTAGAGTATGTAGGAAAGAGGGAAATTATTTCCCAGTAAAAGTAGGCCTTAGACAAGGATGTGTGATGTCACCGTGGTTTAATATATTTATTGATGGGGTTGTAAGAGAAGTAAATGCGAGGGTCTTGGCAAGAGGCGTGGAGTTAAAAGATAACGAATCACACTTAAAGTGGGAGTTGTCACAGTTGCTCTTTGCTGATGACACTGTGCTCTTGGGAGATTCTGAAGAGAAGTTGCAGAGATTGGCAGATGAATTTGGTAGGGTGTGCAAAAGAAGAAAATTAAAAGTGAATACAGGAAAGAGTAAGGTTATGAGGATAAAAAGATTAGGTGATGAAAGATTGGATATCAGATTGGAGGGAGAGAGTATGGAGGAGGTGAATGTATTCAGATATTTGGGAGTGGATGTATCAGTGGATGGGTCTATGAAAGATGAGGTGAATCATAGAATTGATGAGGGGAAAAGGGTGAGTGGTGCACTTAGGAGTCTGTGGAGACAATGAACTTTGTTCTTGGAGGCAAAGAGGGGAATGTATGAGAGTATAGTTTTACCAACGCTCTTATATGGGTGTGAAGCATGGGTGATGAATGTTGCAGCGAGGAGAAGGCTGGAGGCAGTGGAGATGTCATGTCTGAGGGCAATGTGTGGTGTGAATATAATGCAGAGAATTCGTAGTTTGGAAGTTAGGAGGAGGTGCGGGATTGCCAAAACTGTTGTCCAGAGGGCTGAGGAAGGGTTGTTGAGGTGGTTCGGACATGTAGAGAGAATGGAGCGAAACAGAGTGACTTCAAGAGTGTATCAGTCTGTAGTGGAAGGACGGCGGGGTAGGGGTCGGATTAGGAAAGGTTGGAGGGAGGGCGTAAAGGAGGTTTTGTGTGCGAGGGGCTTGGACTTCCAGCAGGCATGCGTGAGCGTGTTTGATAGGAGTAAATGGAGACAAATGGTTTTTAATACTTGACGTGCTGTTGGAGTGTGAGCAAAGTAACATTTATGAAGGGGTTCAGGTAAACCGGTGGGCCGGACTTGAGTCCTGGAGATGGGAAGTACAGTGCCTGCACTCTGAAGGAGGGGTGTTAATGTTGCAGTTTAAAAACTGTAGTGTAAAGCACCCTTCTGGCAAGACAGTGATGGAGTGAATGATGGTGAAAGTTTTTCTTTTTTGGGCCACCCTGCCTTTGTGGGAATCGGCCAGTGTGATAATAAAAATAAAAAATAAACAAGTTAAGAAAGCCTAGGGAACGAATGGATTTGTCAGTTAAAAACAGAGTAGGGGAGTTAGTGGATGGGGAGCTGGAGGTCTTGGTTAGATGGCTGGAATATTTTGAGGAACTTTTAAATGTCGATGAAAGGGAGGTGATAATTTCCTGCACTGGTCAGGGAGGTATAACATCTCTAAGCACTGAAGAAGAGCAGGATGTGAGTGTGGGGGAGGTGCGTGAGGCATTACGTAGAATGAAAAGGGGTAAAGCAGCAGGAGCTGACGAGATCATGACAGAAATGTTAAAAGCGGGGGGGGGAGATAGTGTTGGAGTGGTTGGTACTTTTGTTTAATAACTGTATGAAAGAGGTGAAGGTACCTAGGGAATGGCAGAGAGCTTGTATAGTTTCTTTATATCGAGGGAAGGGGGACAAAAGATATTGTAAAAATTATAAGGGAATAAGTTTACTGAGTATATCAGGAAAAGTGTATGGTAGGGTTATTATTGAAAGAATTAGAGGTAAAACAGTAGAATTTCAGATGAGCAAGGAGGCTTTAGAGTGGGTAGGGGATGTGTAGATCAAGTGTTTACATTGAAGTGTGTATGTGAATAGTATTTAGATAAAGGTAGGGAAGTTTTCATTGCATTTATGGATTTAGAAAAGGCATATGATAGTGGATAGGTGAGCAATGTTGCAGATGTTGCAAGTATATGGAATAGGTAGTATGTTACTAAATGCTATAAAGAGTTTTTATGAGGATAGTGAAGCTCAGGTTAGGGTGTGTAGAAGAGAGTGAGATTACTTCCTGGTAAAAGTAGGTATTAGACAGGGATGTGTAATGTCACCATGGTTGTTTAATATATTTATAGATGGGGTTGTAAAAGAAGTAAATGCTAGGGTGTTGGGGAGAGGGGTGGGATTAAATTATGGGGAATCAAATACAAAATGGGAGTTGACAGTTACTTTTTGCTGATGATACTGTGCTTATGGGAGATTCTAAAGAAAAGTTGCAAAGGTCAGTGGATGAGTTTGGGAGGGTGTGTAAAGGTAGAAAGTTGAAAGTGAACATAGATAAGAGTAAGGTGATAAGGGTATCAAATAATTTAGAAAAAGAAAAATTGAATATCACATTGGAGAGAGGGAGTATGGAAGAAGTGAATGTTTTCAGATATTTGGGAGTTAACGTGTCAGTGGATGGCTTTATAAATTGATGAAGGAAAAAAGGTGAGTGGTGCATTGAGGTATATGTGGAGACAAAAAAACTTTATCTATGGAGGCAAAGAAGGGAATGTATAAAAGTATAGTGGTACGAACTCGCTTATATGGGTGTGAAGCTTGGGATGTACTGTAAATGCTGCAGCAAGGAGGTGGTTGGAGGCAGTGGAGATGTCCTGTCTAAGGGCAGTGTGTGGTGTAAATATTATGGAGAAAATTTGAAGGGTTGAAATTAGGAGGTGTGGAGTTAATGAAAGTATTAGTCAGAGGGCTGAAGAGGGGTTGTTTAGGTAGTTTGGTCATTTAGAGAGAATGGATCAAAGTAGAATGACATGGAGAGCGTATAAATCTGTAGGGGAAGGAAGGCAGGGTAGGGGTCGTCCTTGAAAAGGTTGGAGGGACAGGGTAAAGGAGGTTTTGTAGGCAAGGGGCTTGGACTTCCAGCAAGTGTGCATGAGCATGTTAGATAGGAGTGAATGGAGATGAATGGTTTTTGGGACCTGATGAGCTGTTGGAGTGTAAGCAGGGTAATATTTAGTGAAGGGATTCAAGGAAACTGGTTATTATTATATAGCCAGGCTTGAGTACTGGAAACAGTATTTAAGGTGCAGGTGAAATAACTACAGTTTATTAAAAGGCATTTGATACACGAAGTGAAAAATGTAAATTCGAACCAAGTAATAAGCAGTGTAGTAATGTTTGCCAAGGTTACTAGTCACAAAAAGCAGACAATATGACTAATGTATGGGAATAAAACTTCTTCAGTAATGTTAGATTAATGGAAACAACTAAAGCTAGTGGATTATTTTATGGTTAGCTGGCAATGAGTGGGGTAGTATTAGGAATAAGTATTGTGATGTAAGATAACTTGATCTCCCAAGAAAGTACATTAGTTACAATAGTAGGTTAACAGTGACACTCATAGTTATGCATAGCATTTCAGTCAGTCTTAAGATAGGACTCAAAAATAAGGCGCAGGTGAGGTTAGGTTATCATGGTGTTAAGTTTGAGATTAGGTTAGCACAGTATCAGGTTTAGGGAGAATAAGCATTACTAAAACTTAGGAGATTGTGAATGATTCAGTTTTGAGAAATTGTATTGTTGTGTCTATTACTGCTTATTTTAAACATAATTTGCTGTGACAGTAACATTCTTTGATGATAAGTCTTGCCTCTTGGAAATTCTTGGTGTTTTGATGTGGAGTACATTGGTTTCTAATGCCGTCCTTCCTGTATATGTTGACATGTTCTTTGGTATCTAGGTCCCTGAAAGTTCCTCTACATAAACATTGCCTTAACTTTCACAAAGTATAGTCTACCACATGTAAACCAACAAATAAAAATGACCTACTACACTATTACTTACATCTCAGTGACAAAACCAGGAGTAGGATCATTATTGGATTATTCTTAAGAACATATGGGATTTCTTCCAATTCTTTCTCTCTCAAGATTGAATGTAATTACATTAACCAAGTCTACCCATAATATTTCATCATTAACTGGAAGAGGAAACCTGAGAATATATAATATGCAACTCTAGCTCTGACATTGCACCCAGTAGATACATTAATTACACTTGTGTCAACCAAACCAGCAACAACTTTTTCAGTACCTTAGCTAAAGACAGTATCAGGGGTCACTAACATTTTTATGTAAAACCATAAAAGATAGTCAAGAAGCAAGGAAAGTCAATGACACCACTTCTGGCATTTGTACCAATGAAGATTATGACCAAGTTTATGTATTAGAAACTTTAGGGCCCTAGATGCCAGAGTCAGAGAGCACAGAAATGCATGCACTCCACACAAAAATACCGAGAACCACCTTAGGAATTTCCCTGAGTTTTGGCTAGATTATAATTTGAATTAGAACTATTTGACCACTTTTAAATTCCTTCAAAAACCAGGGTAGACTTACCCACGAGATACATGAAAAATGAATGATGTGGCAAAATATCAAATTATTAGTGGGTTGACCTATACATGGAGTCAGTTTATGCTTGGGTAGTATATACAGTAGTATATACTACCCCATTAAATGGGGTGGAGAAGGTGCCTTGATGGCCGAGTGACAGCTAACCTAGTGACTTAAACACTTGTCTGGAGTTTTACAATTCACTCGCCAAGGGTTTAAACCCTACCTGTTCAGTGGTTTGGCTTTTTATCCAAGAAATTGGATCCTCCTTAAATTGATTACCTCACATAAGCATAATAAGAAAGCATGATGGATGTAGGGTACATAAGATCTTTTAGGATGTAAATACCAAGTGGAAACTTCTCATTCTGAAATTTCTTAAAGTTTGAATGATAGATGGAGATTGCTGTACCTTTTTACTGATTTTTTCTTTTACCTAGACCCTCGAGAGTATAAGCTAGTTCAAATAATTTAACCACTTACAGTTTCTGAACTTTTTTTTTTTTCAGGAAATAATAAAGAACAAGCAGTGTGGATATGATGTAAGAAAGCAAGATTATGTGAGTATAATAATAGAACGTGTTTATCTTTATTCCCACTTCAGTTAATTAACTTGTTTTGTGTACATTACTGAGGATAATGCTAATTACTACAAGATTACCATTTGTTTCCGTATTACCAGATGTGATTAACAATTTATTATTAATCAGTATCTACTCCTTAAGTAGAATAGAATAAATTTTATTTTTTTTTATTAATCAGTATCATCTACTCAGGTAGGATAGAATAAATTCTAATTTCATTGGTGTATTTTATTATTTAAAATGTTACATACATGTAATAATTCCCTCTCTTAATTATAAATTTACAAGTACATAAAGAACAAAAAGGCACAATAGTATAACTGGAACAATACACAAATAACCCACACATAGGTGAAAGAAACTTGTGACGGCATTTCGGTCCAACTTGAACCATTAACTAGTGCAGGTTATTTGTGTAGCAGTACATGTGCTGACAGGTGCTGTAAATATTTGATTCTCTTGCTTAACCTATGGGAGACCTGGTGGGGGTAGGGGTGTTTGATATTGCTAACTTAGTCACATCCTTATTTTTAACACAAATATTCTCATTTGCCACTAGTATAGCTTTCAGTTAAATATTTAAAATGTGGTACGGGTATTGCTTTGTACTTTGCCATGTGACAAAGACTCGGTCTTTAACCCTTTCACCGCCATGCCACTTGAAATTAAAAGTGCTGACAGTGTTGTAATTAAAAAAAAAAATTATCTTCTGAAATGGCAGAGAATACTTTTCTGAGGGTATTTATGCCAAACATACAAAATTTGATGGAAAACTTTTGGAATTATCCAGGTGCAAACTTGGCAGCCTAAGTTCATTTTGAGTCCTATTTTAAGCCATTTCCAATGCCAGTTTGAGCCAATTTTTAGCTATTTTGCTAGTATACCTTCTTTTCTATCAAGAGCATAACACCTATTCAGTTCAGAATTACCCTGTAATGTGTATAGAACTTGGTAATTTTGCCAGTGTACAAAATTTAAAGTCTGAAATAAGCATTGTAGGCATTCCAACCACTAAAGCAACCTTTTCTCTGTTCATTAATCACATTCCCAGGCCTCTTCTATATAACTCTTGCCCTCCATTTTGAACCCATCACAGAAAAAAAAAATTAACTCTGAGGAAAATTGCCAAATATTTCCACTTTCTTTAAACTTTATTTCAAGCTTCTTCTGATTGTAATTGACCAAAATATTTTTTTAATTTCACTAGAATGTCTTTGATTTTATCATTTGATACCAAGAAACATCCAATAAAAACCATAAAAATCAGCCTAGAAAACACATCAGTTGTTATTTGAAACCAAACACAAGGACAGAGGTTTGCTTTTTCGATCATGCACTGCAAGGGGCAAGCTTTATTTAAACTGTACACACACCCATTCTCTGTTGTCTAGGCCATGAGAGATGAACCTGTGTTTAAAATGTAGATCTATGTGAGTGGCACTGGAGTCAGCGACAGATCTGCTTGGGAGATGGTGATAGGGTTAATCTCGGCAAGGTAGATAGATTATTTTTGTACAAGGATGGAGGCATTGCATGAGCCTCGAACTGCTGATCCCCAATGGCAAGATTCAAGTACATTACTGCTTAGCCATGGATAAGAAGAGTCCTGTAGGGGTCAACAGATTGAAGTCTGTACAATTTCTCTCCATTAATTACTCCATTTTGTATTCTTTTATTATATTCAGCTAGATATAATAATACCTTAAATAAATAAATGCTTTTCTTAACAGTGTGATGATATAAAAGGATTCCTTATTTTTGTAAAGAATAAAATATGCACAAGTTGCTCTGTGGCAATCTTCCTAACACTGTAGTGCTAAATTATAATTGGTTGCTAGGGTTACTAGAGCAATGTTGGTATCCAGTGGTTTAAAGTATAATGTACCATGAAGGGCAGTATACAGTGAATGGTTAATGGGCATGTTTTTTTCTTGTAAACTT